TATCTCCCTAGTATTTACTTCCTATTTTAATTATACAGTCTGTAACATCATATCTCCCTAGTATTTACTTCCTATTTTAATTATACAGTCTGTAACATCATATCTCCCCTAGTATTTACTTCCTATTTTAATTATACAGTCTGTAACATCATATCTCCCTAGTATTTACTTCCTATTTTAATTATACAGTCTGTAACAATCTTAATGAGAGGGTGTCTAGGTGGAGTCCATGGAATATTTGCTCTTGTTCTCAAAGTTGAGGATTCTGCAATGGTTTGTCAATTCCTAAAGATACCATCAGTAGAAAACAAGCAAAGCTAGGCACAGTTTTCACACAAATATAGGCAAGGTATTTAGGCTTTTTCCGCATAACTCAGATACTGCTGTTAGCTTTTTGTATTTGTGCTAATTGTCCTCCATGTCTGGCCTTACAAATTGACTTAAACTTGCACAGACCAGCCATGATTACAGCCTTCCACTTCAATCCTTATTCTACAATTCCCTCATAAATTCAATAGGATCTCTTACCCATTTCCTCTGCATCTGGTTGTAGAATCCTACCATTACACCATAATCAAATATAACATTTAGCCTTAGCTTATACCTGTAAGGCTGTAACAAGTGCTATTTTCTGTCTAAGCAGCTTGTTAGTCATCAGCTTGGAGCATTAAACTATTTTCATGAATGTTGTTTGCACCATTAGAAAGGACCCATGTAAACTAAGTGGACTAAGCAGCTCATTTTTTTGCACCACCTAACTAGTTGCCTAGTAAGTCTCTAGGGTGCAATTTTCTGAAAATCATTTTCATATTGTAAATTGTAGAGAAAGCTGAATCAAATTGAATTGTGAACAGTATCGTAAACCATAAGATTATGTATATTTTTCACAACTTGTCAAAAAATTAAAAATAGACATGCTAAAAGGTTAAATATATATAGAAAAGTAATTCTACCCTAACCATAACTACCATATATGTGCCTAAAACAATAGAATCCACCACTTCTACAATGTAAGTCTAAGATGATATAATCAAGTTTGACTCGAAAGTCAAATAATCCACACACAATGGCTATATATGATGGAAAATCATTTTTTTTTATAATTTTTATTATGGAAAATAATCTCAATATATAATCTTAACTAACAATAATAAATTAATTTCTAATTAGTTTCTAAAACAAATTGCCCTTGACAAAACTAAATATAAACAAAATAAAATGACAAAGTAGAGAATTAATTCTTAATTGAATTGATTTGAATCACAATGAATCACAAGAATCATATAAATTGTAAGATTTATAAATCAAATTGTAGGATTTAAAGGATTCAGACATAAGATTCAAAATCAAAACCCTTGGGGGACTCATGATTCAACTTGTGAATTGTATCGTAAATCGTAAGATTTTGATAACATTGCTAGGGCAATCTTAAATACCCTGTTGACCAACCAGTCAACAGTCAACCCCATGAGGGAATGGGTAGAACTAGGAGCAGCAATAGTGAAAATGATAAATCAAACTGAACATACAAACTTGTTTACATTTATAATTCAATAAGACAGATGTTTCAGGCAAGAGGAAAATAAGAATTTTTAGGGGGAATATAAAAATAGAAGTATAATAGGAGGAAACACTTCATGTGGAGGTTAATGCATGCATTCATGTGCTTGTTGTGTGTATAAACAAACAATACCAGGTTTGAAGGATACAAACCACCAAATACTTCAAGAGTATGCAAGATGTCATGAACATAAGTATAGTCATTGCAACGTTCTGCATCAGTCAATACTTGAATACAACATGGAAGAATAACAGGAAGATATGTTCTGAATTCATCATTGAGTGCCAAGCATAGTTGTTCCACAAGATGCAGAATCTGCAAAGGAAATATCCCCAAGTAAGATGAAAAGATAGTTTCAATATAAAATGTGAAGTTAGATCATTTTGATGGTTTAACAACATAGTAGGAAGTTAGGCCAACAGAAGCCACTTACTGGTGAACCATGAACAGGGCGGTTGGTAGCAGGCAAGCTGAATGAAGACCACAGTTCGGATATAAGAGAAAGCAAGGCAGGCAAATATTTACGCACATGCTGCAAGAACACAACCAAACTGTAACTATATCCTCTGATGCCCATAAAACAGAAATGTGCTAAGTAGAGACAAACTACTAAGTTCCACTCCTACCTGTCGTATGATGGACACCAAAGTTCCTAGCTTCCAGGTAATAAACTCCTTTAGACCATCTTCACATGTCCGTACAGTGTGGAAGAGATCAGGTAGAACCTGAAAACCCAGAGGAAATAACCACTTCATGCTGTAGTTAAGCATATTGTATCTAGTCATGGTTTATTATATCAACCAACATCCTACTTCAAATAACATGACATATTGATATCAAGATAACAAGATGCACTCACCTAGGTATGTGTGGACAAATGGGGAAAGATGGAAGGACCAGGAGGTTTTCTTGTGTGTATTTAACCACTGTATAAAATTGGTATAGTTTCCATACAAGTTTTGCACCCTAAATCCATCTTATGGGATCATGTCTAGCAGCTCTTGCCTGTCTATTTTATCAGAGGATCATATCACCATCACCATCATCTAAACCTTGTCCCAAGTCCCAACTATATGGGTTCGTCTACACGAATCCTGTTTCACCATTCCATTCTTTTCAGCATATAAAAAGGGCAGCCCAGTGCACAAGGCTCCCACCAATGCAGGGTCTAGGGAGGGACAGATGTATGCAGCCTTACCTCAGTAGAGGCTGTTTCCAAGATTTGAACCCTGGTCACGCAGGTTGCAATGGAGCAACCCAACTGTGCTCTCAGCATATCCATCATTAAATTATGGGCACTCAAATTTTGGACATGCTGTTTCTTGACTGCCCAACACTCCTCTCTATACAACAATGCTGGCTTTACAACTGTTTTACTTAAGAGAATCTTATAACCAATTTACTACAAGAGTGAGGAGCTATCCACAGTTTTTTGTTTCTTTCCTATTAACTTAGGGCTTCAATCAGGTTCCCTGTTAAGATCGTTTCTAGGAAGGGACACCATGCAAACAATACTTCGGATACAATATAATAATTTTTTAAAGGAAAGAACGAATATAGTTTCAATATCAAAATAAGGTGAGTTTCCTCATATGCTGAAGAAAAGGAGAAAAAGTAACGATATTGCATTCTCCACAATGAAGGAAATTAAACTACAAAACCAAGCATAACAAAATGGACTTACCTTAGGCAAGTATGGAACGCAACCAAGGCCCATTGACTAATCCCGCAAGATAAGGGGTGGAAGGGAGTAAGAAATACAGGAGTCAGAAATCAAAGGCCAAAAAGTTTCAATGAATTTTATATAAAGAGACAGAGTAGTATATGTACCTTGAATATGAACATAAGAGATCCAACCACTTTTTGGTGATAACTAGAAAGTGAAGGATCACGAAGAATACGCATAAGGGAATTAATGGCAACCTGCAATCATAATCAATATTATAACAAACAAGAAAGAGAAACCTTTCTTTCTGGACTTTCTGTAATATAATTACCGTAGAATAATAATCCTCAGATGTTGCAAAAGATGGCCAAAGGTCTGTAGGCAGCTCATCCATTGACCGAATATGTTGGCCAGTATCACTTGCTGCACGGGTAACTTCACCATGTGATCCTGGCAAGCTTTGCTGATTGCGCTTATGCACGTGTGGATCCAAAGCACCCATAATCCCTAGAACCTGGTGAAAAATCCAGCATAAGTCAAAAGTGGAACATGAAAACAGTGAACAATATACCTCTAATAAATCAGCTCATAAAACAAATACCTTTAGTACTTCTCGTCTAGTGGACCACGCCAATTCACCATTCAACAATTTCAACAGTAAACCAAGCAACTGTGGGTACTCGTTATATGGAGCAATCACGTAACTGTCAAATGAAAAATATCAATCTCCACAACCCAAGACTTCAAAATATCACCTATCAAGGATTTTACTTATAATGATTCACAGCATCTATATAATCTGCAAAGATCAATTTATTGTATAGTCAAAACAATTGGGTTTAGAGCAAATCTCAATTACATAATGTCTGAGACCAAAGTTTTTTTTATGGGAAATGGTAACTTTAATTAATTCTTTAAAAAAACTTAGTACAAACTGTCACCATCAAAAACAAGGTGACCCCTCATCAATATTACAAACAGGCCCAAAAAAGGTTCTGCCTACTAACTCCTTGCTTTGCTAAAGTATCGGCCATTGCATTGGCTGATCTCCAAGTCCATTTAAACCAGACTTCAAGCTCCCTTGTTAGTTGCATAATCTCCCTTACAGGTTGTCTAAGGGACCAGAAACCTAAGCTGTTTGTTTGCATCCAATCTATTACCAGTTTCGAATCTCCCTCCACTTCCAACTGCTGAAAACCCAGCTGTTTATCCAATTTGAGCCCCTGTAGGAGTGCCAGAACTTCGGCTCTAAGAGAGTCCCCCAAGCCTATCGAATCAGAATAAAGAGCCAGGACTTTTCCTCGCCCACCTCTAAAGACACCCCCCACCATATGACTAACTTTCAAAATTTGGCAACCTCCATATGACTAACTTTCAAAATTTGGCAACCTCCATATGACTAACTTACCCCCCACCGCCCAAGGTGAGAAACCTAATATCAAGCCATGCTGGTTTGTTCAACACTCATATAACTAACTTTCCACATCCCATGTTTGGCTAAAGCATCTGCCAAAGTATTTGCTTTGGCTTTTAACGAAGCCAGTTCATCGATGGACGCTCTAGCAACAGTATACTCATCTGGGGTATGCTGCCTGACGCTGGTTTTGGTCTATTTGGTCTGAGAGGAATACTAGAAATTTTAAATGCAAATCCTCTCAAATAGATGAAGTTATACACACCATGACAGCAACGATTCTTTTGGGCAAAGGCTTCTATGATATCAACTGATGCCCTTCTTTTGTAATAAACACCATACAAATTTATTTTGGGGGTATCTCTCCCCATGTACAGCCACACTGGGTTGGGTTCTCCCATCTCATACAATCAATACAATATACTTTACTTTTTCAATAAAAGAAAACATTTTATTAAATAATAAAAATACAGAATGTGATAAGGTATCACCCACAACTAGGCCCAAACAAGAAAGGAATAAACCCAAGACCCAAGTATCAGTACCTCACCAATCCTTATACAAGCTTTTTCCTTCCCAGCCTTTAAACTTCAAAAGCCCAAAATGTTCCCTATTACCAAGACCTCTAACCTACAAACAACCAAAAAAGGAAACAAATTCTTCCCCTAAGCCTTTCAACCCAAACCAACCATAATACCTAAACAACCAAAGCCCAGACCTCAGCATTAGAACTTTTCTCACTCAAAGCAAACTTCTTTTCCAATACCCAAAAAATTTTCCTCACAAAATTTTCCCTTCCTATTTACGATAAACAAATAATTTGCTTAATTGAACCTTGATTTCCACTATCTTTTCCAAATCCGCATTCTTTTCTATTTTCTTTACTTTATCAGCAATCACTTCCTCTTCAGCCTTCTTTTTGAGCTTCAGAATAAGACCCGAAATCCTTCTTTCCAACTTCAATCTTCAGCATAGCTGGAATACTACTGTTTCCAACTGAGCTCTGCCTTTTAACTCTGGACTTCATCCCCCTCCTCTTATAAATCCTCTTGAACTTACTGCAAGGACCATCCCTAAAGAGACCTTCTATTAGGACCCCAACTGCAGACACAAAAGCCCAGGCCCAAACAGATGGGGTCCTGGTATCAGATAAAGAGAAGATAAATATAGTCCAGCACCCAAGCTCTCCTGTTCATGCTATGCCAGCTTATTGTCACGGGGTGACATAATTGGGCACTTGGCTAGAGGTTTTCTAGATGCTTCCTGAGGCTTCGAGGCTGCTCCAGAGCGTTCTAGGGTGTTCTAGAGTATTCTCCATGTGTCTAGAAAGGACTGGATGCTGGTGGAACCTTCCGAAACCTTGTGGAATGCCCTAAACTGGTCTGGAGTAATCTAGACTTGCTCTAGAGTGTTCTTGTACCTTATAGAATAGGCATCCCCTAGAAGAGTGTAGAAGGTACAATGTTCTAGAAGTGCTTCTAGATGATGCCAAGTGTACATAGTTCTAGAGGATTCTTTGAGGGGGTTAGTTTATAAATAGGGGTTCCCTCCCGCATTTGCAAACCATCCAAGTTGTGAGAGCATTCTTTGAGTTGTAAGCTTTCTTCCATAGTGCAATACAATCTACTCTTCTTACATTACTTGTTGTGCTCTTGTGTGTCTTGGTTTGTGTCCTTTTAGCACTTAAGCAACCTAGCAAGAAGGATCTTGGGCATGCAGTTTGGCTGACTTGCTTGGAAGGCCAAGTGAGTGCCACATGACAGCCAACGGGAACGGGAACGGGTCGGGTTGTGACATCATGCTTGAGTATACAACAGAAAATTTCCTCACTAAGTCATCTCAAGCGGTTGAGGCTCCGCACATGCAAATCAGTAGTTAGTTTTGATTATGTAATAAAGATAAATAGTAGTGAGGTCCCCTATGAGGGCATGAACGAAGAAATCATTTTCTCTATCTTCTTCTTCTTATCTTTTCTATAGGAGGTTTGCTACCCTCAAAGGAGCACCCGAGTTGGGCAGTAATCCTAACACCTTACTTCAAAAGATGAAAACCTCGGTAGCATAAACTAGATGTCCATTCTTTGAACTTTTAGGTTTTTACGAATTAACCAAGGACACAACACCCTTACTGTTCCCATCAAGCAAACTTACATCTCTTTTCCTCCCTAAATGCACTCCAAACTTTCCAATTAACACCAAGGTAAAAAAAGATTGATCCATTAAGCCCATTTCCCCTTTTGAATTTTCAAGTGTTGTAGGAAACTTAGGCCCTTATTTTTCCACAATCATCTCACTACCTCCACTCTTCAAAGTTGAAGGTTCAGTCTCCATACCTAAAGTCACCATTGGCTCCTTCTAACAAACATTATTGCAATCTCTTTTAGCGCAACCCCACCCCTAACTTCGAACTGTACCAAACTTCTTCCTCTATAATAGAATTCTCTTTAAAAGATCACAACTTCTGAAGACAACTCACCTAGGTTTTTGCACAATTTCACCTCTGAATACTATCTGTCCCTCGACTTAATAGACATCATGCCGGTTCTCAAGGAACTCCTACGCTCATCAGTTGAAAACCTAGTAATCACCCATTCGCATATTTCCATTTACCTTCACCTAGTCTTACATTTTTTTCTTAAACAATGCATTTTAAAAATCATGCCCTTCCTCCCCCTCAAAGCCTTTGCTAGCTGCCTTTTTTGTTTGCTCCAACAATAGATTGACAAGATCGATCAACATCTTCTTCTAAGACATACTAGGACATTTAAACTGTTTAGAGGTAGATGATGATAAATCGAATCTTTGGTCTATCATCACCCTTCTTAACTCTCCCCTCACATGATCTAGTAAGTCCCCATGACTCCTCATTTAACCTCTCAAGAGAAGGCCCATTCAAATAAGGCCTACTAAATCTTGAAATAGACCCACTTTCTTTCCCCCTCACATTAACACTTAAAAATTCACTTGTTGGCTCACTAACCCCTAGTTCAACACCATCAGCTCGGTTCCACCACAAGTCTCCTCCCAAACCTTAAGTCTACCCTTCAAGGCCTTCAAACTCTTGCACATTTGATAGAACTCTTCTGCCATTGGTAGCAATTGGAGCAAATGACCGATTACACACTAACCCTTCTTCCCTTCCTAAGCAAGCATCCTCATCTCTCTGACTTCTAACTTTTACTACACCTTGTCTTAGCACCTCGTTTGGTAAATCTAAAAGAAATTAAAATACTCCAATCTCTTTCCGTCACACAACCAATCTACTTCAACCTTCTAGTCTTCCTCTCTGTGAGTGTCCAACCAAAGAGACACTTCAATGGAGGTCGCCAACCAAACGAAGGGATAAAACTTATCAACTACCGCTTCTACTTTCCCAGGTATCTCCTCTGGCTTCATTCCATTAAAAAGATTAGTTGTTGAATGAAGGCCAAAGTGAAAGCTCCATTCAAATGCCCTCCACAGATCGACACAATAGAGGTGAATACTTTTTGTTTCCATAGATTGAATGGGAACCCTATAAAACAAGCAATAACATTATCTTCCACATACTTCCTTGCGTTGGGCAATGTCGACCATTTTGATAGCAAAATATTACCGCAATCTAAAATAAGATTTGTTGCTCCTAACTTGAACACCTCATCTACCAAAACAATGAAAGTTTTTCACTTCTCAAAAGGCGTGAAAATTGTAGTCCCCTTCAGATTTAAGCCATTGAATACTTTACCTACCATCTTCTTCCAATCCTTTATGTCTTCTTTCACCGTAGCAACAAGCATTCTCTCCCAACCTCTCTTCCCACCGTGAGCTTCCAACCGACATTTACCAGCATCCTCACCACAAGTGAAATTCTCTCAAACCTTCATCCTTTGACCAACTTTCATGATTTCATCATTTAGAACATCAGTTGCATTAGGTCCTTTACAGACTTTTTCCATGTACTCAATAAAGCTCTGTAATACTTTAGAAATCAATCCCCACCCCAAAAAACTACCATTCCCTTAAGGAAAATAGATTAGTTGCTTTCTTCCTATTCTGAAATATTTGCACAAAACAATGAAATTCCCTTTTCCATTCTTCTTTCTTTCTGCAATGAATCTTCTTGCTTCTACCTATTTTGACCTTTGCAAATCCCTTTCCCTATGCAATTCTGGGAACAAACTTGGGTGGGGAATGCCCCTCTTAAGGATTTGTTTCCTTCTGTATATGCCCTCTCCGACTTAAAATATGAACCAATTTCTTCCTTTATTACTCCTTCACCTTCCTCTTCTCAGTTTGGCTGGAATTTGGGTTTGAGAAGGGTTGTGAGAGATACAAACTTAGACTGTATCTCAAACCTCCTAGGTATCCTTGATATTGTTTTCTTGGACCCTACTAAGTTGGATTCTAGAATTTGGACCCCCACCCCCACTGGCTCATTTTCTTGTGCCTCTTTTTTCAAAGTCTTAAATCAGCCCCCTAATCCTGTTGGCCCTCCCTTCCCGGTTAAGGAGGTTTGGTGCAGACCAATTCCCCCTAGAATTGATAGTTTTTGTTGAGAAGCTTTTCTGGAAATAATCAACACTGGTGATCTGCTCCAAAAGAAAAGACCCAAGACATGTTTATCCCCTTATTGGTGTGTTCTTTGTAAAGCGGAGGGGGAGACTGGTTTTCACCTATTGGTGACTTGCCAGTTTGCTAATTCCATTTGAGGGGATGGGCACTATCCCTTTTTGGGTGTAGTTGGAATCCTCCATCAAATTTGCAAAGCCTTTTTTCCCCTTCTTTCTTCAGGTGTCGAAGGAAAAGGGGAAGGACCATGTGGAGATGTTTGAGGGCTGCAGTTTGTTGGGCCCTATGGGAGGAAAGGAATTCTAGAATCTTTTCTGAAGTAGAAAAAAGCAATGAAGAACTGAGAGAATTGATACATATAAGGGTAGTACAGTGGCTGCAATCTTCAGAGCTATTTACAAATTTCACAATGGTTGATTTGTTGAGGAAGTGGGGTGAGATTGCTAACTGCACCCAGACCAAAGCAATCTTGTGTGTGTCATGGACTCCCCCACCGGCTGGCTTCTTAAAACTAAACTTTGATGGGAGTAGTCAAGAGAATCCTGGACAATCGAGGATTGGAGATGTGTTTAGGGATGAGAATGGGCTTGTCTCAGCCATGTTCTCCGGCCCAATTGGAGTGGGTGACTCTCTCAGGGCTGAAATCTTTGCAGTTATGGAAGGAGTTCAAAGAGCCAAGGAAATGAATATAAGAAAACTCATCATTGAAGGGGATTCAAAGGTGGTGGTAGGGTGGCTGAATAAAGAAAACAGCAGATTATGGATGTACAGTAACAAGAGGAGGAAGTTTAGGTGGCTGGTTCAAGAGATGGAAGTTAAGATAAGCTGGGTGAAAAGATCAGCTAACTCTTTTGCGGATGGGTTAGCTAAGCAAGGAGTTGAGAGGGAGTCAATGTTTTGGGCACAGGTGTAAGTTTTTCCATTTTGTTCTTGGGTGTGTTAAGCTCCAATTGGAAGATAAGAAAGTTTATCTTCCTCTTTGTAATTACTTTTGTGATTAAGTAATGAAATGTTGTTATCGATCAAAAAAATATATAGCCTCATCACAAAAATCTTGAACCAAGCAATTGTCTCGTCTCCTACAAGCAAAACCATAGCCCTTCAAAGACAACTTCCCACTAACTCTGAGATTCTCAAACAAGAAGGTTTTCCCTTCAATCTTCACCAACCTCTTCCACTGTGCTGACTTAACAACCTTAGATCATTCTCCATCTAGCTTCAACACAACATGGCAGTATAACTCCAGAGGTAACCAAATCACAAATAAAATAATATATACATATATATAAGACTCCCCAAAATTAAAATCTTGATTATTTGCTTGGCAATAAATAAAAAAGCATTCAATAGTTACTCATAGTAAAATATCTCTTCACTTTTCCCTTACTAAATGGACATGTTAGAATGGCATCTCCAGACACCCCCCCCCCCTCCTTTTCTGGGTACAATTCTTTATCCTCTATACAAGACAGTCTTCATCATTTATAAATTAGGTTATATTGAAAAAAAATACAAGAAAACATGAAAATTTGAGTAAAGATATTATTTTGTTTATGTAGAAAAAGGTTATAGATATAAAATAAATTTTAAAAATATCATATTAAAAAGAATAAAATCTGATAAAAAGTAAATACATAAATGGACTATGAATGAAATAAAGTATATCTGAATATACTAGAAAATGTGCAAATTAAGCAGATGGATTTTTTTTTTGATAAATGAGAGTAGTTTTATTAATTCAAAAAATAGTAGTACATTCAGCCTAGGAAGAGGCACGAGGTGTTACCTCCCCCTAGGACTGAGTCATAAACACTAAACAAACACAAGCCTGAAACAAAGTTACAAAGTGGCCCAAAACAGATCTCCCCTTGACACCCCTTGCTTGGCCAAAGAATCAGCCATTGCATTTGCTGATCTGCTGACCCACTGAAACATGACTCACATATTCCTTGTCAGCCATTTAACTTTCTTTAACAGATCCCTGTAGCCCCAACAAGCTGTCTCTGGACTTGTCAACCAGCCCACTACTACCTTGGAATCTACTATCAAATTATTCACTCCAAGTTGACTGGCCATCTGTATACCATGTACAGCTGCTAGTATCTTTGCCCTTACAGAATCACCAACACCCACTGGTCCTGAAAATAAAGACAACATGTTGCTATCTTTGTCTCTTAGAATCCCTCCTATTCCAGATGGCCCTGGGTTACCTTGGCAGCTACCATCAAAATTCAGTTTTACCACTCCATCCGGTGGGGATTCCCATTCAGCTTGTGATTTGTTCTTTGTGGAGACCGTAGAAGCCACTGCTGCCCAGTTTCTCCTTAAGTCATCAAATGAGTAATCTACCAACAAGTGTGAAGATTTTAGCCATGAGACTGTCCTTATCATTATGCATTCCTTAATTTCAGCAAGACTTCTTTCCTTTTCTTGAAACATTGTAGCATTTCTCTCCTCCCATAAAGTCCACGAGGTAGCGGCTCTGATACATTTCCACATTAGCTTCCCTCTTTTTGTCAATCTCCCAAAGGCAGCCGGAATGAACAGTAGCTTTACTTTGGAGAGCAAGTTCCACCAGCACCCAAAAAGTGCAACAACCCAGTTCCAAATATTGGCAGCAAAAGAGCACGATACCAGTAATGGTTACAGTCCTCACCCTTCACTTTACACAAGAAGCACCAATTTGAGGACAAACACAAGTAAGGTTTCTTCTTTTGCAAGTTTTCCACCGTATTGATCTTACCCAAGTAGGCTACCCAACAGAACACTGCTATTTTAGGAGGAATTGGCCTTGACCAGACCTCTTTTACAGGAAACAGCTGAGAGGAGGGATTGGAGCAGAGGGCTTTAAAGAAAGAAACACAAGTGAAGGAGCCAACCGAGATTAGAGACCAAACCCTTTTGTCCAGATTAGGGGGGTCCAGGCACACTGAGTCTAGAAGCAACAAGAGCTCTGAAACACAAAGAAGTTCTTCATCCCTTAACCCTCTTCGAAACCCAAAATTCCAATTTAAATCCAAAGGGCGAACCGGGGGGGAAAGAAACCATGAAATTGGTTTCTTTTTAAAGAAGGAGATGGAATAGAGAGAAAGAAAGCGGTCTTTTAGGGGTTGAGTGTTCACCCAAATATCTTCCCAAAAAAGAATGGAGTTTCCAGAACAAGCATCATACCTTACAAATCTGAGGAACTTTGGGAGAATGCCATAAATAGCCTTCCAAGGTGTTGTGAAAGCAGATGGATTATTTTATATAGGTAAAATTTATAACCATGAAACAAACTAAAAACAAAAAGAATATATAACATAATTTCAAAAACAAACATAAGATTCGTGTTAAAAAGAATATATATATAACAAAAAGGAAATATGTAAATTGGCTATAAAAATAACAAATAATATTATATATACACACACACTTTGAGGCTTATGCCTCACCTCCGCTTTAAGCCTTTTAAAACCTTGGCAGTAGTAAGGTAAGCAGAGAACAGAAAGGCTTCAAGTGACAAAAGGCTAGCCATATAATGCTTACAGACCTACAGTTCCATCATACATGCAGGAAAATTAAAACCTGTGCTAAGTGTGACCAGTCAACATGTATTTACATACGGTGAAATTAATTACAGTTCAAATAAAACTTTAAACAAATAGTAATACAAATAAAAGACCATTAACTTTTTCTACAAAACAGAAACTACATATAAATTATGTCAAATACCCTGTGCTCTGTACAACTTGACCAAGAGTTGCAACAGCAACTTCACGTTTAGTAGCAGCAGCACCATCCAGCAAAGCTTCAACAATTAATGGCATAAGCTCAGAAAGATACTGCCTCATTGCAAAACCACCCTAAACCAAATCCAGAACAAATGAATTAAGAAATAACCATCATCAAGTGATTAAACAGATTAAGATACTGAAATAAAATCCAGACAACAGTAGATTATCATTTTTATGAGCAATAAAATAATATAAGGATGTTTGGAGATACAAAAAGCAGAATGCAGCTTTACAGTGTACCACCCTTTACATCCAAAATTGCACACCAATTACAGAAAGCCAGCAGGCCTTGGACACCCCCACTCCAACTGATTTTTAGAAATCCTTACCCTCACTAAAGCATCTGCTAAAGAATTTTGCACTTCTAGGCATCCAGTTTAATGAGCTTTTTTTTCTTTTGATTTCTTGGTTGAATGAGCCATTCAAGTTGCTGCCTAGAGAACAAGACCATCTGATCAGAGGCTTGAGCTTCCAAGGGGTCTCCTCTTGCATATTATACAACAAATTATTATTTGGCAGTCACTCTCCAGTTTTCCACATCCAACTCCTTTATATAATTCAAAATCAGCAGATCAAATCCTTAAATTAAAGCAAGAATTTCAGCCCTCAGAGAATTTCCTTGTCCAATCGGACCCAAGAAACTAAGGACAAAATTTTCATCATGATACCTTACTACTGGGACAGTCTTTCCATCTACTTTGTCATTTTTCATTAATAATTAGTTTTGTCAATGGAGGCTTGTTTTAAAGCCCTTACCAGAAAATGATTTATTTATGTTATTTAAGACAAACATTGAGTTTGCTTTCCATCATATGTAGGTTAAAGAGCCATTGCAAATGGATTATTTGACTTTCAAGTCAAACTTGATTTTATCATCTTAGGTTTCCATTGCAAAGTGGTAAATTCTATTGTTTTAGGTACACATATGGTATACATACATTTGATTCAAGATTTTTTTATTCAACTATACGATTTACGACATGATTGCAATTTTCAAAACACTGATCAATAGGCCTATAATCCAGTTTTCTTAGTACATTTTTTATATCAGTAACTTATAAGATCCCAATAATAACATAATAGATATACAAATATGGTGAGGGCCATAGGCCCTCCCCCAGAGATGAGAACAGAGGAACTAACTCCTCTGCTATTCTCACCCAAGCACAAGCTCATCCCAAAAGGGAGATGCATATAAACAACTCCAGGAGGTATGACCCCCAATACAAAGATTTATCAAAAAAAAAGATCCCTAATACCAAGTCTGACTCTCTCTCGGAAGGGAATTAACAAGGAAATTTGCTTATTTCAAAACACAACTAAAAGTGGCATACAAGCTATATGATAAAAATCTGGTTCCCCTAATGAATGTGGTGCTACAAACTCAGGGATTCATTGCCCATCCACCCAATTGCTGTTGGTGAATCTCCCTCCACCACTAGATGATAATAATCTACGGACCTACCAATTCTTAAACCATGGAGCAAAGATAGAAGCTTGGTCCTTGCAACCATCCCTACTCCAATTGGACCTGAATACACACACTGGTACAAGATCACCTTGATCATTCCTCATAGACTCACCAATACTTGAGTTGCCTTAGTTTCCAATGCTACAGCTATCAGATTTTTTTTTTAAAGGTAAAGTATTGTATTGCAAAAAGAAAGCCAAATACATCAGCCCATGTACAATGAAAGCCTGTTCCTTTCCTTCCATAAAACCCATAGGATAGCAGCTGGAAAAATCCTCCAAAGCAGCTTGCCCCTTACATTCAAACCCTCAAGGGTCCACCCCTGAAGAAGCTGAAGGGCTTACAGGCAGGCAAAAACAAACACCAAAGCAAGATAAAGCCATTTCCCAAAGCTGCTGAGAATAACTGCAGTGGATGAAAATGCAATTAGAGGATTCAGGGACCTCATTGCAGAAAGGGCAAGAGATGCTAGGAAGCTGCATCCCCCTTCTGAGCAGCCAACTGTAGTTAGGCACTTATCAAGTGCTGCAGTCCAAACCAGGAAGGCAATTTTTGTAGGTGCATAGGATTTCCAGATTACAGCCCAAGGGAAGTCTCCATCCTCACCAACCACAAGCTTGTTGTAGGACTGAGAAGAAAACTTACCAGAGGTCCCCCAAGATCATATTCTTTCATCATCTGACTGTGGGTTGGGCTTGAAACCATGAATATGACTGAGAAGATCTATTAGTGGACCAATTTCCCAATCATTAAGATTTCTTCTTTGGAGGATGCAGCTTCCATGGCTTGAAACCATGAATACAGCCATCAAATTTATCTTTACTTGATTTGGAGAAACTGCATTTTGTTTAGCACATCAGTTTATCATTTGGGGCATATTTTAGACTTTTAAACTCTTTGACGTTCTTCATCTGTATGTGTGGATATATACTTAATACTAACCCAACACTACTTTTTTTGATATTTTGAAACATTTTCCCTTTTCAAGAAAGTGTGAGGCTTAAATATCAATCAACACTCATGGCTTATTCATCAGATCAAAAAGCAATCTCATGTCCTCACCATGTAAAATACTTGCAAGCACTTCCAAAGGAGTAAAAGGTGCAAGCTATCACAATACAAAGTGCAAAAATCCAAGAAAAATGGAAGTTCACATACCACTCTAGCAAGCTCCCCAACAGTTACAAGAACTCCATTGATAACACCATTATTAGCACTCCCCCCAGTGCCTTCACAGAGTTTTGCAACAAGGGCCTGAGAATTCAATCTCCATGTTAGACAGATGACAAATTAGATTAGTATAAGAAGTAAGGAATACACCACTAAACCTTGTGTATAGGAGCAATATATGGAAGTATTAGTCGTTCACAATTGCGAATTAAGCATCCCAATAATTTAGCACTTTCTTCTCTGCATTTGCTATCTGTACTGCTGGCATAGCAAGAAAAGTCAACATGGGAATATAACAGTGTAAATTCTAAATCAAGAAAGACATGACTGGTAATAGAAACAACTAACATTACCTTTGCTCCAGATATGTCAGCAATTGTATGAGATGGCGACGGAGTGCAGGAAGAACATAAGCCGGATTCTTTTCAGATAATCTCCCAGCTACTGAAATAGCATACTCACGAACTTCAAAATCCTACAATGACAAAGAAGAAAATCATGATAAACAATGAGACAGTGAAGCATTCAAGGCTCAATTAATATCATCAAGATCAAAATCATGCAAAGGTCACCAATCAAAAAGAAGAAACTCCCACAAAGGTTCATTACCTTCATGTAGCTTTTCATCAAATTATGGAGAAATCTTTAATGAAGAATATTAATCCCCAAAACTAGTTTCTTTTTCTTCTTCTCTTTTCCTCCCTCCCCCCCTCCTCTCTTGTGGGGTGAGAGCAGACAAAAGAGGACAATCATAAACCACCAAGAAACCAAACAGGAATTAATAAAAAGCTCAACGCATACAAAGCTATAGGCTATAGCAGCACAGAAGAACCCTGATAGAGTTGCTGGTTGTTTTACAGAAGAAGAGCTGGTTCGAGGGGACTCACCCTCCTGAAATGGACGAGAGAGAGAGAGAGAGAGAGAGGGAGAGAGAGGAAGAGAAGAGAAGAGGAGAGACGAGACGAGAGAAACTTAGAACTATTTCATTCCTGCCACTAAATTGATTGCTACAGATATTTATAACTGCCGATAGTGGCTTGTAACAACCCAATCGCGACCTGTAACAACCCAGCAAACTCTGTTCAGATCTCTGGACGTGGACGGCGCGTGTAAACAAATCTCAGAGGAGGTGCTGCTCGCCTGAGTCGTGGGGTGTGCTGACCTGGGTCCGAAGTGTCCTGGGCCTGGGCCTGGCTCTCCATAACTGGGCCTGCTTCTGGGCCGGTCCTAACATCCCCTTCCCCATCAAGAACGACCTTGTCCTCAAGGTTGGTGGTGGGGAACTGCTTCTGTAACTGGTCAAAATCCTCCCAAGTAGCATCCTCCTGTGGCAGCCCCTTCCAAACGACCAAGATTTGTTTGTGAACCTTGCTGCCTTTCTTCACCCAACGGATGTCCTTAACATGCTGTGGTTGAAACACTATTTCTCCGGCCTCCGTGAACGGCAGAAGTGTGGGACTGGTAACATCGGAGGAAGATGGGCAAGGCTTCAGGAGGCTAACATGAAATATGGGGTGCAACTGGCACTCAGCAGGGAGGTTCAGTCAGTAGGCAACAGCCCCAATGCGTTCAACCACCTGAAATGGCCCAAAGTACCGAGGAGATAATTTTTGGGTCGACCTTCTTGCTAGGGACGCCTGCCTATATGGTTGGAGTTTCAAGTATACTCAATCCCCAACTGAAAACTCCAATTCTCGGTGCTTCCTATCATAAGCTATCTTCATACGCTGTTGGGCCTGCTGAAGATGGAACTTGAGGGTCTTAAGTATCTGGTCCCTTGCTAAGAGCTGGCTTTCAACTTCAGCAACTGATGTGGTTCCCTTTTCATACTGTAGGATAGATGGAGGGGCACACCCATAGAGCATTTTGAAAGGGGTGGTTCCTGCTGATACCTGGAATGTAGTGTTATACCAGAACTCAGCCCACGGTAACCATTGAGCCCACTGTTTGGGCTTATCTCCCACAAAACACCGCAAATAGGTCTCCAAACATCGGTTGACTACCTCCGACTGCCCGTCCGTCTGTGGATGATTACTGGCTGAGTGGAGCAGGTGAACCCCTTGAGCGGTGAAGTAAGCTTGCCAAAAAAAAATCATGAAGATGGGATCCCGGTCTGTCAAGATAGAGAGGGGAGTTCTGTGGAGTCTAGCCACCTCCCGAATGTAAGCTTGAGCCACAGTGGACGCTGAATAAGGTCTGGAGAGGGCAATGAAGTGTGTGTACTTAATCAGCCTATCCACAACCACCAGCACTACTGACTTCCCTTGAGAAGTGGGGAGCCCGGTTATGAAGTCCATAGTGACTTCTTCCCAAATTCTTTCTAGTATGGGTAGGGGCTGCAACAGTCCCGACGGTGCCTGTGTCTTATACTTTTGCTGTTGGCAAGTAGCACATCTCGCTACATACTCCTGCACCATGCGCTTCATGCCTTTCCAATAATAGTGCGCGGCCGAACGTTTATAGGTACGAAGAGCCCCTGAATGTCCCCCTTGTGCTGAGTCGTGAAAGAGTCGTAGTAACTCCTGGTGATAGTTAGATCTGTCAAAAATCACCATTCTCCCTCTGTAAAGGAGAGCATCACCCTTCACAGTGTACCTATCGGTGAGAGCTGGTTCCTTAAGAACTTGGGCCCGAATTTGGGCTAGCTGAGTGTCATCGTGGGCTTCCTGCCTTAACTGGTCCATCAGGGTATAAGTTGGTCGTGACACCGCAGTGATGTGAAGGTCTTCCACCCGTGAGAGTGCGTCGGCGACAACATTAGAAGATCTCAGCTTGTACTCAATGCTAAAGCCGTAGCCCAATAGCTTGTAGGCCCACCTTTGCTGGTCAGGGCCCAGAATTCTTTGCTCCAGCAGATGCTTGATGCTGCGGCGGTCTGTGCACACAATGAATGTTTGGCCCAGGAGGTATGCCCTCCACTTCTGCACTGATAGTGCGATTGCCATGAGTTCTTTCTCATATGTGGACTTAGCTTGGGCCTGGGGAGAGAGGGCCTTGCTGTAGAAGGCCAATGGTCGGCCCTGCTGCATTAAGACTGCGTCTAGCCCTTTACCTGAGGCATCCGCTTCAACCACAAATTCTAATGTGAAATCGGGAAGAGCCAACGTAAGAGGTGTGGTCACAGACTTCTTAAGTAACTAGAAGGCTTTATCAGCTTTCTGATTCCACTCAAATGCATGCTTCTTCAATAGGATGGTAAGTGGTGCCGCCAGGAGTCCATAATCTTTAATGAAGCGGCAATAGTACCCAATAAGCCCAAGGAACCCCCTAAGGACCCATGGAGAGTTGGGCCTAGCCCAAGCGACCATGCAAGCAATCTTCTCTGGGTCTGTATGCACCCGGCCATCGGAGATGATGTGCCCTAAATAGTTATCTGGGTCTGCCCGAAGGAGCACTTAGAAGGTTTCGCAAAGAGCTGATGGCGACGTAGTAAGATTAACGTACACTGCAGATGGTCCAAGTGAGCGGCCCAGTTTGGGCTGTAAACAAGCATATCATCAAAGAATACAAGCACAAATACCCGTAGATAAGGCTTAAAAATCTCATTCATGAGTCTTTGAAATGTTGATGGTGCATTAGTCAAACCAAAGGGCATCACTAGGAATTCGAAATGCCCATCCAATGTCCGGAATGCCGTCTTATGTATGTCATCCGGGTGCACTCGGATCTGGTGGTAACTTGGAGAAATATTTGGCCTTGCCCAGTTTGTCAAATAGCTCTTCAATATGAGGGATTGTATACCGATCCTTGATAACGATATTGTTCAAAGCTCTGTAATCAACACAAAATCTCCAACTTCCATCCTTTTTTACCAAAATGACAGGGGATGAAAATGGGCTGCTACTGGGCCAGACAAAACACTTGTCCAATAACTCTTTAACCATCGTTTCCACCTCTGCCCGTTGGTAATGGGGGTAACGGTAGGGTCTGACGTTGGCGGGTGGGGCTCCCGGTTGTATGGGAATCTTATGATCATGGGCTCGTGGGGCGAGAAGGGGTAGTGGGCTCCTAGAAGATGTCAGCATAGGTTTGGAGTAACAGTTGAAGCTGTTGTGTTTGTTTTGGGTTGAGGTTCTCAGTTTCAGACGAAACAGCCGTGGGCCCAAGTGGCATTGAGCCCATACTCATTAGTAGTGGGGTGGCATCGTACTGGCTTTGTTTGAATATAGCACCCAAATCTTCTGCTGTTATGGGCTGACTCTTAACCCCTTTCAAGGTATAGGTGCGCCCCTCTTGTGAAAATTGCATGGTCAGCTTGGCCCAGATACAAACCACAAGGCCCAAAAGCTGTAACCATTGTATTCCTAGGACCACGTCCGCTCCGGAAAGTTCTAAGGGGTGCAAGTCTACCCTGAAAGTATACCCTTGAACCTTAAGTTCGACTGACTTGCATTTCCCGTCACAGGTAATTCACTAGCCGTTGGCCACATTGACTACAAACATCGGGACTGCCTCAATCATCACTCCTAGTTGCCGGGCTAACCTGGAGGTTATAAAATTTAAGGAACACCCACTGTTAATCAAGATGGACACCTTCCTTCCTGAGATCTGGTCGTGAACCTGCATTGTTCAGGGGGCCTGATATTCGGATAAAGCCTGTAAGGAAATAACATGGTATTCAACTTTGGGAACCACCTCCATCTGTTGAACCTCAGTGTCTTCGAGGGGTGGGTCAAGGTCATCTTCTTCATCAACTCGCAGAAGGTAGACTTGTTGGGCCTTACATTTGTACCCTGCATCAAATTTTTCGTTGCAATTATAGCATAGCCCTTTTTCTCTTCGGGCCTGCATTTCTGTCCACAATAGCTTCCGGTAGGGTAAGGTCAGTGAGCCAGTTTTCTAGGTAGGCAAAATGGGCTTCGCAGTGGTGGTCACCGCATTGGTAGAGGTTGGAAGTAAGGGGCCCAGATTGCGCTCAGTAATGGGCCCGCTGGAGGTCCTGTAAACCTTCCCAGTTTCTTGAGCCGATCCAACCTTTCTTCTTGTAATTTGGCTAAACCAACAGCCGCAACCAACGTAGCTGGTTGCATGGTATTTACTTCAATTCTGATATCATCCCTCAATCCCCCTATGAAACAACCCACCAGAGCAACCTCCGGCCAACCATGAACTCTCGTGGCCAACCGCTCAAAACTTGTTTTGGTATTCTCTTACCGTTCCCGTTTGCCTTACTCTAGAGAGGGACTCATTGAAGTTCTCTTAGCCAGAGGGTCCAAACCTCACTCATACAGCCTCAGTGAGACCCAACCAGGTGGTTTGGGGATGGGTCTTCCGGTACCACTGGTACCACATAATTGCTTCGCCATCCATGTGAATGGCGGTAATGGGAACTCTTTGCTCAGCAGGGATCTCATGAAATTCAAAATACCTCTCAGCCCAGTATATCCAAGGAACGGGGGTCATCACCTGAATACAGTGGGAAGTCGATCTTGGCGGCCTTGACAAGGAAGATTCCACCTTGTCGACTTCCGCTAC